CGCATAATGGAATCTCTCGTGCTGGGCCTGATGTTCCCCTTATCAGCCCCACACATTTCTAGGGTTCCATGGGCATCCCCACTCGAGAATTCACCAAATCTTCCAGGAACTCCAGGAGGGTAGCTGCTACCTGGAGAAGCCCGCTGAGGCGTCTGCCACCCAGATCCGAGCCTTTCGCTGTTTGGGGCAGTTGAGCAGGGGCCTGTGTGGGATGATGTAGAGATCGCCTAGGAATTTTGTCGTGAATTTAAACTGATGAGGAAGAATCTTGGGATTCCATGGGGTTCCGTGGGGAGAAGACAGGACCACCGTAGTCCTGCTTCCCCGGCTTTTCGCGCACGTGACAGTCCGGGTTCCCAAGACAGCAGTCCTGAAGACGATCTCACCACCATATTGACTTGGATCACTCAGATTTTGCAGCTCTTGAGAAAACCATGCACTCCAATCTAGTTGACTTCATCTCCAAGTTGTCTTTACGTGCAGGGTGTCCTGAAGGGAAGGAAGACAAGACAGTGACGGGGTGTTTCCTGCAATACACCGGGAACGTAGTACCTGTTAATGTCTTTTCGCTTTTCTGAATCATGTTGAAGAAGATGCTGGAATACTCATATCCACGCCCATAACCCCAAAAGCCTATGTCGAATCCAATCGCAAAGACAAGGTCGACTGCCAGTGGTCGCCGATCAAAGATCCTGCGTGTAGCCTCTCGGCGAGCAAGAATGATTTTCCTGCTTGAGATTTTTACTTTGATTGCCACAGTTTCGTTTGGACTTTGGAGTTGGAGTTGGGTTCTGAAATGTTTTGTGCTTCTTGTCGACTTTCCGGAGCTTCCCTGTGCCATGAGGTGGAGCCAATTTTCATTCGTCTGCGTTTTCGCAGCCGGGTGCTGGTACAGGAGCTCAGGGGCGACCAGGGGTGTCGTTAAACCTGGCTGGGATGGATGTGCGAGTTTCTGAAAGCATCTCACGCTTCTTCTTAATTTGATTTCTCATGGGACTATTTAACTTTCTGCGCGATGTTAGGAGAGACAGCAATTTCCAGACGGGCGCTCGCGGGTCCGCAACATGCTGTTGGCTGAGAAGAAGGCCAGCCATCTTGGGGGACTCATCGAACATCTCGTTTAAGGAGAAGCACTGCTCAAGCAGCAAGCGGAATTCTGCCTCTGAGTCATGAGTCATGGTCACGCTGAGCTTGTCAGGAGCCACGGGACTCGGGTGGTCTCGTGGCAACGTGTCTCGGCAGGGTAGAGCAGGATTTGTGTGGGTTCAGCAAGCTCGTGTCTCGAATGTAAGACCCACGAGCAACATGTGCTCAGACGATTCGCGGCGCAGGGAGCTGTTGATCTTGCATCCCAAGGATTCATCGAGGCATTCACGAAGAGCTTGGGATAGCCTTGGAGGAGTGGGCAGACAGGTGATTGTTTGGTGTGTTTGGATGCCTGGATTATTTCTTCCTGGGGCTGTGCCAAAGCTTTTGTGAATGTAATTTAGGAGTAGATGAGGATACCAACCGGAATGATGTAGGACAATGTCTTGAAGGAAGCCGTGCAAGCTAGGATGGTTCAGAAGTGAGACGCAGCTTGACAGACTGTTGCGAGCCGACTATCCCTTCCTTCATCTTCGCTCTTTCACAAGAAATCGGGAACCTGAAAACAAGCTGGCCCCATGCTCCAGCATGGACCGGAGTCTTGAGTTGAGAGTAGGCGAGGAAGCAATGTGGAAGCAAAAGCTTGCAAGGCAAAATGCATGGCCGGGCTTCCGACATTTCTATTCCCGCCAATTTGCGCGCAGCCTTCTGTTGAACTATTGTTCGATTTCCGAAGGCAAGGAACGAGGATTAAAAGGGACCTGATGGGTGCAGACGTTTTTCTCTAAATTATGGTTTGATTATATTGAGGGAGCCCTATGATAAGCATTCTGGTATGCAGGGGGCCTTCCAATTTGGAACTCTCTTGCGCGTAGAATATTACTATCAGCATTATTACTACTATTATTACCAGTATTATGATGATTATTGTTGTTACGTAGGCTCCCACAGGCTTAGGGTTTGGGGTTAGGTTGGGGCGTGTGGGTATTCTTCTGGCCGGCAGGATCTCCAACGTGATGACGTGATTCGCTATCGTCGGGTCCTTACAAGCATATGAGCTGCATTCTCATTATTCCTACTATCAGTACTACCACTATTACTACAATTAACATTGTTACTACTGCAATTTCCATTGCTACTATGATTTGGAGTTTTCCAAATGAGAGCAGGTTTACAGAGCCTTTTGCCTTTGTTTTTTGTTGGTATTTGGCAGTTCTGCAAGCTGACACGGCCTGATCGTGAGGTCCCGACACCTACCATTTCGAGATTGAACAGATAGACTCCCCATCGTATCCAGGCCAGCTGTTCTGCAAAGTACTTGCAGAAGGGCATAGGGAGGGAGAACAAGATCACCCATGCCCGTGCATGTGAGGGTCCTCAGCAGTACCTTGCTCAAACTCATGAACCTTTGCAAGTCTTTCATGTACATGGCTGCTGGCAAGTATGCTGTATGATTGACTTTCTGCTGCAAAGGCATGACACCATTTAGCTTAGCATGTTTGAGGCGCAAGGACGAGACTTGACCGTCCCCTCGTGCTTTGTTAGGAGGGCAGTATCATACGCTGCCGTCTGAACAGCACCATTGGCACTTTGTGCCTCCCTGAACAGTCCCTGCTTCGCAGGCTTGACTTCCTCCTATCGAACGCACCACGTCCAGGCCGGTGGGAGGGTTTGCCGAGATGAGAAGGATGGGAGAGCGAAGTAAGGGCTGGGTCGTCATCCACTGTAAGGTAGACGTAGGCAAACCCTTCTGGTGAGAAGTGCTTTTAGTGGAACAAGGCACAGAAAGTGTCACAGGTTGCGAGCAGACGTGTCTAACTGCCAAAACTCTTGTCCCGTGACTCAGGTGGAGATTTTGGAGACAGGTCTTGATTTCTTTCTGCATTGCGGACTGCCGGCTTGGACCTCAGGGCCGATGATGAGCTTGTGTACCTGTAGAACGGAATGAGTGAACGCATAGGTCATATTGGGGACACTATGGCGTTGAATTTACGGATTTTAGGGAGCATTGCAAGCAACTCCATAAGGGTTCTAGGGTTTCATGGCGGTATCTTTGGGCCCTCAAGCCATTCTAGCTAGCCCTTCTTCATCCAGATGTGGCAGTATTACTATTAGATGGAGCAAATGAACTTTCTGATCACTCTGCAAGTACGCGGTTTGGGGCAATTTGGAAGCCATGTGTCGGTCAGCGAATTGGAGAGAGACTGGTGAGTTGGACTTGCCGCGTGCCGAGGAGTTCTCCGACTTCGTGACCAAGGAGAAAACTGCACAGGGAGAGGCCAGAACCACCATCAACTCCAAGTTTCACTGAGGTGTAAAGTGCTCTGTGGGGCTCCATAGAGCGCCTTGCAAATTCAGTGAACATGCGGCAAACAGGTCACTCTCTACTGGCGCTGGGATGATGTTCTCTGGCAGCATGTTCCGCAGGTTTGTTGTTGCTTCTACATGTGTCACACTTGTGCAATCCGTGCTGGTACTCCTCAAACTACCGGTCGAGGTCCACGCAGCGCTGCGTAAGGGAGTCGGGCTCTCAGTTGTCAGAGAGTGGGAAGCTGAGCTGGCAACTCATGCACGTAAACGTTTCAAACCAGGATTAAGCCAGCACCCTTCATGCTCCTGTTCTGCATGAAGAGCGAAAGCTGCGCAGCTACGAATAGGAAGGCCTAGTACGTTGTACCTGTCAGTCTGAAAACCATTGAAAACCCCAAGAAGAGCCCCTAGACCTAGAGCCTGGCCTGCCCCACATACATGAACATCATTTGGCAATGAAGTTTTAGGAGTCTTGCACAGCTGTGTGAGGTAGTCAAGTTCCCTCCCAAGTCGCTGACAAAGACCGCCTGGCATTTTTAAAGTTTTCTGCTGGAAGATACTGTGTTCATTGGGGTAATGCACCGCCATTGAGCAAGCTCCGTGCTTCGGGTAGCCAGGCAGCAACATGGTGTCCGCCCTTCGCTGAACTCTGCGCCGCACTTAAGAATGCTTTGCCTCCTCGCTGGAAGCTTTGCATCCCAACCTCTTCGCTCTTGCGTTCAGAAGGTCCACTCCAACGGTTCTCTCAACGAAAAGAACATCACATCGGCCAGGAGCTGAGGTGGAACAGATGGCAACAGCAGAGTCAATTGTATTATCTCTTTCCAGGAGTTCTCTTCCACGATCCAGGCCCTTTCAGTGGCCGAGCTTCCCAACGATGAAGCTCTTGCCAACTACCTGCTCCGTGGATTGCATCAGCATCAGGGGTTCTTGTTCCTGGAAGCTTCGGAAATCCCACCAAGAAACAACACCAACAATGCTCCCCCTTTGCTCAGCCTCAGTCTCTCAGGAGCCGCGCTGGAATTGACCCAAGCCTCTATGGCACCGGCAAAGCCAAGACAATCGGAGCTTTGCTGAAGGCTCTGAGATATGAATTTAGGGGCTCTGCCTTTGTGTGCATGAGTTTAAGGATTGAATGTTGGTCGCTGGATCAGTTAGAGGCTTGCACAGGGGTGCTCCGGACCCTTGTAGCTGACAAGTGTTATGGGAGGGTGGGCCTGAGTCGGTGGGCCTGGGTCGGAAGGCCTGTAAAGCCATGTATGAAGTGGCGCTCACTGCAACATGTTCTCAAATTTGTCATGCCGCGAGGGCTGAGTCGTGAGGCTTTCATCTACAGCATTCTTGTTTACGTTGGCATTGTTATCAAGTGGTTATGAGCCTCAGGATGTGCAGATTCAAATGTCATCAAATGTCATTTTATCTGTTTTGCACGTTCACAGGGCGACCGCGTATTTTCTGATCACGGTTGCGGGGATCAAATCAGCTGCCAGAGCTTGCTGCAATCCTTCCTGAATTGCCAGGAAGTGGTGAAGGGTGAGACGGTCTTGGCGGCGAGACTGCATGTGATTGACAAGAGTCTTCCCCTGCCTACATGCACACCCAAGGAGTGGAATGACACCGCATCACAGATTCGGCGCGTGGTTGAGCCGGTCTTCGTGCAGCTGAGATGGGGGGACAAGGCGAGCTGCTACGTGGAATTCGGTGCGGACTCAGAACTTACTTGTTGATGGCCAGGTTCTGGTAGAAACGGAGCAGATCCTCGCAGATGGCCGCCCGCGCCAGAGGCGCCCCATGCCTGCAATGTTTGAGAAGCAAGTTAGTCTGCCTGCAGGAACATGCTCTTAGCTGAGAAGAAGAGCCCGGATGACGTGGACATCGAGCATTCTGCTCTGCGAGGCAGAAATATGGAAGAGGGTTCTGGGAAATGCAGACCGCTCGCTGCTATGATTTCTGTGGCTGGTTCTGCACGCCAGGAGTGAAGGAAGAGCTGCTGGAGAATGTCGAGGGCTGCCAGATAGATGTGCTTCGACATCTCCGCTGCCAGAGCGGCACCAGCTTAGAAGGGTTCCTGGTTTGCGGGTCAGATTCTGGGATAAGTTCCTGGAATAGATCCTCAGACTTTCGCAGGAGATGTCTGTAAAGGGCACAGAGGCCAGCCATGCAGATCATGCAGCCCAGGCTTCATGCAGGAGGCTTACTGCTGCGTTGCCGAGAACTTGGAGTCAAACTCCTTCCCAGGCCGTGGCCTTGTCTCCGCCTGTCACATGTTTTTGGCTAGCTGGTGCTTATTTGCGGCTAATGGAAAAGAACATAGAAACTGCTATATTAATATAGGGATTATGTAGGGATATTGGATAATGAGATGGAGGCTACTACATGGTAACATAGGGAGTGAATCACAGCAGTTCAGTTTTGATCTGGGCGTTGTGTATCGCTAGCTGTTCTACAGCGGCTGGGGAAGAGAATTCCGTTAAATTATCATTCTGTTGTCTGCGCAGGACTTCCTTGTGTCTACATCACTCACTACTGCGGAGTTCAGATCCTCGACCATGCCTTGCCGCTCTTCAAGGCCTCAGCCGGGGCACAAAAGGAAGCCAACAGAGACCCTTCATGGAATCCTGAATGAATGTGTAAGGGCTTTCTAATTATGTAGCCTTTTGTGGCTCTGAGTCTAGAGATATTTGGATTGCACTGGGAGGACATTGGCTTCCTCGAGACCGACTTCGAGACCAAGGAATCTGACGGCAAGGCTAGCGCTAATGAATGCTAATTGGGTTCATATAGGGGTTATATTGAGATAATGGAAAATAAAATGGAAACTATAGAGATTATATAGGGTTTTATAGGAATTATAGGAGCTCACAGCTCAGCATTATGTAGGGGATAATGGAGAATCAAATGGAAAATAAAATGGAAAATTAAATGGAAACTGGGGGTATATAGGATAGTAAGTACTTGAGCTCATATTGCTAATGCTTCCAGTTGTGCCCTCTACCGGGGCAACGTAATTGGTCTAGGCAGCATGAGGTGCTAGGCAGGAAGGGTTCTGCAGCTGGTTGGCCCAGATCAACAAGTGGCGCTGGGTGGATGTGAGCAAAGCCCGCACTGACAAGGCCGCTAAGCTGCTTTGCGCTATCTACAGGGGACCACTGATGTCATAATTTTCAAAATAAACGTACGTTCCTTAGCGGGGAAGTGCAAGCAAGCACGGTCTTAGCAATCCACGGTGTCCTTGCGGATTTGCCATTTTTGAGACGTGTTTGTTTGTTGCTACAGTTCATGTAGCCTGGAGGTCCGGTTGTCCTGCTACCTGTAAATCCTGTACCGCGTGAGTTTCCAGCTTTGGGGTTTTGGGCTGTTTGGAGCAGTGTGTGCTGGTTTTTCTTCTTCTACTCCTGCCACGGCAGGGGCAGGCTTCTTGAGCAGCGGTTCAAGGGTAAAAAGTCCATTTGGTATGACTTCCGTTGCCAAAAGGCTGCACAAAACAGTTTCCAGGATTTCCGGTAGTTGCACGTGCCAGCGGTTACATGCGCAAACGGCTTCTTCATGGCTTCTGCTTTTGAGTCTTGACCGGCGGTTCCTTGCAGGAGTGCCGACAAAGCTGCTTTTGTTATGACAGAGATTGAAACTACTTTTACAATCGATTGGATTATACCAAATGAGCTTCTCCACACACATCCGTCTTTTGGGTGAACATCGGGCGCCGTGCCTACAAACCGAGTTGTCCCAGATGTGAAGGTTCCCAAAACGAGAGGTTCCTTCTTTGGGGGCCCTTATAATCAAGATGCCAGTATATTGAGGTTTATGGGGCCTACTATGTATGGAGCCCCCCGTACTGAGGTATTGACCCATACGGCACTCTTTGAGAAGCATTGCCAGTACAGGTGAAAGGATTCCCCAAGTTGGAGGAAGATGGTGATGGCAAGGAGCAGGCTTGGGGTCATCAGGGTTGTGATGGGTTCTATGTTTCCCTTCATTTTCCAGTTTGGTTATTCTAAGCATCAGCTACTATACCCTCAAAGTGATGTGTATTGGGGTCATATGAGAGAACCCTGTGTTGCCCCAGGATCATATTTTACTTCACATCGCATATGTGACATACATCTGTTCCTTTCAGGTCACCTGTAGGATCCTTTTCTGTCAGGAGATTTGGTGTTTGGTGCTAATGGGAGGTGATTTCTAGCTAGAAGGGCTTAGGATAGTTGAAGCAAAATGCTGGGACCTAAAGCAGCGCTAAAGCCCACCACCTGGATGCACTGACGTGGGCATCTCCCAAAGTCCGTTTTTTTCCGGTCTTTGTGTGTAGGAGCCGATCATGATACAGCTCCCTTCAACAGTTCTCCCCATTTTGTCCACTCCCCTCTCCCCAAACACGGAATATTCCCCAACACATACATATACATATATATATATATATGTACGTATGTATGTATATATATATACACATACACAATTTTTTGGGCGGTATATACACATACACAATTTTTTGGGCGGTATCGACTTTAGGGTGTCAGGTTGGTTCCATGCCTTTTGAATGGTCACGCCCATGTTCATTCCGGTTGTGCAGCTTACTTTGAGGACCCCTTTGTCTTGAAATTTCTACTACAGTCTACGTCATGTCGCGGCATGTTGCGACCGCGTATGTTTACGTTTTGGATTGTGAGACGCGAATTGATGAAACGAGGTCTCGGTTGCACTCTTTGGTGCCTTGTGCTGGATGCCTGTCTATGCACAAGTAAGAAGCTAGCTCTGTAAACAGTTTAGAATCGTGGTCTTGGTGTTGCTTTGACGCGGTGTGAGCGCCGAATTCTCGGTGACAAGGCCGAAACCCATGCCAAAGAAGCTTAAAAACACTATTTCTTGGGCTTTGGATAAAAATGTGTCTAGATTTGACGAAATAAGGCGCAAGTACTTCGGGAAAGATGTAAAACATGACCTGGTTGACGTGACTTGGGTCGGATGTGACTTTGCTCCTGGCAGCGTGTGCTTGGAACACCTACTTAATCCGCCCGCTTTCATCTGACCATCCTTCAAGGCCAAAACACAAGCTCTACAAAATCTTGATAGAATTCTTGTGCTTGACAGTAATATCAATGTAGAAGTTATCGCTGGCAACTGTAACGTAGTGGAAGTTCGCGAAAATGTATGCCTGGCCCTGAGGGCATTAACTCTCAACAGCTTCTATAGACCGCCGCAACATGAGACTGGCTGCCAGGCAGTGGTGGGTCTTTGGCAGCAGCTTGAGACGCCCCGCGACGTGGGGGATCTCCGTTGCCCGGCTTGTTGCCAGGGCAGAATGGACTTCATCAAGACAGGTAGGGTTTCAGAGTAAGGGGTTTAGGCGCCCCTGGGGATTCAAGGCTAGAGATACCAGGGGCATGATGAGGAGAAGGATATATATAGGAATTGTTCTCAGAGATTCCCAACAGAAGATTCCAAACACAGTAAAAATCCAATGGTATCAACAGTAGCTACAAAACATGACGCTGCGCGTATGGATAATGGTATTGATAGTCCATGGGAGAAACTGTCAGTAGCAATTCTAGAAGCGGCATTTGCAGTAGGTTGCAGAAGCCAGCCGAAGCCCCCATTGCAGTACCTATGGTCCATTGTTGGACTCTTAAATCGAGACCTCCGGACAGCCAGTGCAGCATGTTCAGGTGTAGTCCTGGAGATGGGTGGCGTGAACGTCACGACCTGGGGAATGCCCCCCTTTGTAAATGTTGTGTTTAGTTTGGCTTTTTCTTGAGTTGCAGCTTGTGTCAAGTAGCTCGTTAGGAGTAGTCGCGAGCTGCGTCAAGTACCATGACCCGCGTCGCACTCACCGTGCCTATGCCTTGGCACAAACAAACGTATGCCTTTTGCAAGAAGGAAGCCCAGGGCCCACTCCTCATTCCAAGTCACCCGTTTGTACCTTTGCACGGAAAGTTCACGAGTAGAGAGGCTTCCAAAACGGAGCATGAGCAACATAGAGCAACGCTTCTAGGATGGCCGAATGCTGGGAAGTTGTACATCCTCCATGAATTTCTTCCAGCATTCCAGCGCTTTTGCTAGCCTGGATTGTCTGCGGATGATTTATCGATTCAGGCCTTTCCCGCCTCTGACACCAGGTACACGGAAGAGTCCCTGAAGTGCCTCTTGAACGAGTTGAAGATTGGAGCATCTACCCTGGAGCGCGACGACATTTCTGGGAAAGTCGGGCTCCCATTCCCAAGTCCATGCAAATGCAGGGGGAGTGGAAATGATTCTGTTTGCATGATGCGGTGGGCAGTAGCATATTTGGCCTAATCATGCCTACTCATGGAAGCTGTTATCACTCATCAGCTCGAGGTGTGAGTGACTGTTAGGAGGTGGAGCACAATAGGCTTTGAGCCTTGAGAGGATGCTAGGCTCTCATAGACAACCGCAAGCCCGCAAAGTTCAGACCGAAACAGCAGTTGGCAAAGCTTTCAATCTGTCCCAGCAACCTAGCTGACCTAGCTGTCCTGAAGCGCGAGCAGGCCTTGGGTTCTGGGGTTCAAGAGGGTGCACGAATGCCTCTACCCCAAAGACGAGCCTAGGCCTAAGATGAAAAAAGTTGCTAGCATCCTGCGATAGTCGGACCCTCCAAGAGGAATGCTCAAAAGGGGAATACGTTTTGGGCACCGACGTCTTTAGGTTCCTGAGCTCCAAAGCTTCAAACCCCCCCGAGCTGAAAATCACAATCTGCCCTCAGCCAGACGCCTCAAGATGTGGAATAGAGGAACTGCGCAAGATTCCCCAAGATGAGCCCCAAGATGAGCCCCATCATTCGGCATAAGCCAAGCCAGGTTCGTCGTGCCATTGGCTCGAATATGGTGCAGCTGAAGATTGAAGAGGTGGTTTGGGATGTCTGAGTTTGGGGGGTGTACCGTTTGAGGGTGCACCTGTTGGGTCGGTGGGACAGGCTTCAAAAGCCTGAACAGCAACAATGCATTTGCGCCAGGCCTTTGCCGGTCAGCAAGGCCGCCCTCCTGTGCGCACTTAGTGATCTTCGTGACTCCAGGGTGACGGGAAGATGCGGACATCACCATAAGTGATGCTTGCACGAAGGTTGGTGGGGTATTTGAGGTCTATGTCAACCTTTTGAGAGAGTACCCACCTGATACATATCGGAAACTGAAGATCTGTTGTCGTCGTTGTTTTACATAACCCAAAGGTCTATGGGCTTTGCTGAAGTAAGGAGTTGCCTGGACTAGGGCGAGGTGTGTTCCACTATAAGCCGTGAGCCCTTCAAGTCATCGGCTAACTGTGGGCTTTCAGAGGGCCAGAAAGTCTTTTCGTAATAGCCTCCCACAGGGTGCTGATACCTCAAATTCAAATATACTTCTGCACCAGAGCTTGGCTCCTAAGGCGACGGTTACCCGAACCCAAACCGTGTTTGATGCAAAGGGATCTCATTTCTTGACTGGGGAGGTGCGGGTGGCTTTGGTCTGGGAGACGCGCGGAGCATGGCCAGTCTCTCAAAACATGCAAGAGGGCATCATTCGACGTGGCGGTCTGCTGTGGCGTGTGTTGGGGTTTCTGACTGCAAGGCCACTGCCTGGGCTGAGGTGCAGTTCCGGCCAGAGAAGGGCGTTTGGGAGGTGGTGCAAAGCGACACCTCATCGCACCCCGATGCAATGAATTCCCCGGAAAAAGAGATGGTCTTGGGGCTCTGCACCTTCGGTTTGTGGATAGGCGTGGTGCTGAGGTCAGGTTGAGCGCCTTATGCAAGGTTTTTATAACGTTTTAGCAGCTGCAAGGTACCCTGGCCTGCCCTGCTGCTACCAGACCCGGCTTGTGCAGTTCGATGGCCAGCAGCCTGAAATCCCTCGCAAGGCACGGCTGACTTGACGTCAGTTGATGGTTTTTCCGCTCTTGTCTCCTCAATCGCTTGTGCTGAGGATCAGGAATCAGGACTAAGGGAGAAGAGTGCAGACTTCAAGCCCTTTGAAGCCAAGCTCTTTCCCTGCTCAGATGCCTTCAGATGCCAGCATGAACGGGCTGCCCAAGGCACTGGCTTCCGCAGTTTTGTTCATGACTAAAGGATTAGGAGCTCGGAGGCAACACTGGACCGCATATAAGGTTGAGCAAAAAGTTGTCATCGGTTGGATGGCACAAGTGTGGAACCGTGTGTGAAGGGGGCTACAGGGAAGTGCATGTTGTAAGCAGAGCTGCTAGTGAGACGCTGAGTGGTGTGTGCAGGTTCGCCGGCCTTCCCAAAACAGCCTGCCAGGCAGATGTCGGGGTTTTCTTTGCAATCCCTTGCTACTAGCAACGGCAGTAGAAACAGTACTGTGAATAGGTATTTATGAACTAGTACCATCTAGTCCGCTTACCAGGGAGATATGAACAATGAGCACGTAAGATCTTCAGCCACCAGTTCCGGCGCAGGGTCAGCCAGCCATCCAAGGGGGCTAACCGAGATGGTCGGCTACGGTACAGGGGGGGGTTTGGACACCCAAACAGACCATCGCTAGTGACCCCTGCCCCCACAATATGCCCCACTACCCCCTGCGAGGTGCGCTGAGCACTTTGACTTCAGGCCTGCTGGCGGATTTAGGTTTTGGAGACCGGGAACGTTTGCTGCTTACCAGCTGTCAGGAATAAACTGACACTTTCGGGTCCCTACTTTCAGACAAGCAGGTGTTGTTGTGTCTGTCTGATCGCATGGACTACTTTTGATAAACATGACTGGTGTCTTCCAAAACTGTGGTGCATGACGCTATGTTGAGAGGAAGACTCAAGGCATGAGCAAAGCTAAGAGCTCATGGTTCAAGCTTTGCATTTTCAAAGCTGTGACGAGTCAATACTGCTGCTTCCGACAGTTCCATTTTTTCATCAACATGAGCTACATCACTATTGATTGGCCTGGTTGGCTGGATTCCATGTTTGTTATCCTAAATGGTTGTGCAGGTACGACATGTGCGGTTTCTGTCATCATGACATTTCAGAAGACAGCATTTTGCCGCTAGACAGCTGGGAGTTAGGTACCCCTAATCTGAAAACACTCCGCATATCTTCACGAATTTAGGCTCTCATCAATCTGCTGCAGAGGCCCCTGCAGCCCCAAGAGCCAGCAAAGCATCAGCTCCATCCCAGGTGCGGGGCTTAGGGTTTACGATTTAGGGCTTAGGTGGCGTTGGGGGATCGGATCCCTCTAGTAGTCCTCATAAACTCTGGATATTCCTTCCTGGAAGGGTCCTTTATACCACCTCCTTCTATTAGAGCTCCATCAGCTTGCAGGTGTTTTGCAAACGTGCAGTAGTCCTTGGGGAGAAAGAAAATGAGCCTTTGTGGCAGTCAAGAGCAGGTTGCAATTGGAGGGATTCAAAACCCACAGCCCATTGTGAGCCCCCAAACAAGAAGCGTGGCTAATCACAACGTTCGAGCTGTCCTTGCTGCTGTTGTTGCCTCAGGTTCTCTCCTCAGTGAGAGCCCTGTCCGGTCGAGGGCCAAGCCAGAGCCCTCGCAGGAGCAAGGGGAGGGTTGGGTTGCATCTTCTTGTGAGCATGAGTCCTTGTAGTGGTGGCTGTTATGTTTCAGAGTTCCTACATTTGTCACCGGCACTCTTGTAAACACCAGTTTTACTAAGGGTCCGGAATCTGATTTCTGCCTGTACAAATTAAAGATGACAAGGTTTCGACCGCTCAAACTCGGTTTGTCTCAGTCCTGCCTTGAGGACGTCATACAGGAAGTGCCCGACCAGAACATCATTGGCTCTGGTCTCTACATGCAAGTGCTCAACATGCACAAGGACCTCGCATTGCAGAAAGTCGGGAACCATTCAGGGAGCTCGCCAGCTTTCTACACGTCGCGGCCTGTTGTTCCAGGACCTCCGCTTCCGCATGGTTGCCAAGGAGCCGCTGACGCAGGGCTAGCCAGCCAGTTACGGCCATGCTTTGGCTTTTGGTTGGCTTTAAACAAAAGTTCCCGAAGCCCCGAAAGAGGTTGCTACATCCCAAAACTCGGGTCCCTGTGAGGTAATCCTGAATCAAATATACGACTGCGCCCTCATAGGATGGAGCCATGATGGAATGGAAAGACGCCTGGAAACAATCAAAAGCCTGCCAGGAGTCCTCTGAGAAGGCACCACCTCCGGCCTCACAGGCCCCAAGCATAGACGGTTCAGCAGTAGCAGTAGCAATGGGAGTAGAAGCAGTAGCAGTAGTGGTTTTGGGCGTTGTGGTGGTGGTGATGGTGGTGGTGGTGGTGGTGGTAGGCGAAGAAGTCGCAGTAGTGGTAGAGGCAGCAGCACAGGTTAAGTCGAGGTTGTTGTGGAGATCTGTTAGGAATTCTAGCCATATCACCAGCCATATCAGACGCAGCCGCCGCGCGAATCAATTCGTGCTTCAGTTCTCGGAATGGTCTGCTTGTTTTTTTTTGTCTTCTCAGCGACTTTTCTTAATTTTGCTGGTGCCATAATTCTGGTTCTTGTATCTGCTTTAAACTTATGATGCTGGAAAGCACCAAGCTTCTCCTGTCACTGACTTGCGATGGCTTGTTGCAAAGCTCGCAGGCCGTTGCATGTTCTTGCGAGATCCTGTTGTGCTTTGGCGGCAAGCTCCAGACTCTAAAGAGTGCATATTTCCTGGCACAGAGTGCATGCAAAAGATGGCAGCGAAGAGGCTCCAAGATCAGATGAGAGCAGATGCCTGTGTCAAACGGATTGTGGAGCCTGAGGATCCGCAACATCAACCCGCTCACGGCCACTTACCAATGCCGCTTCTTTGTCTTCCTCGAGTGGTTTGACCCCGCTGCAGTTGGCATGGCGCTGGGCGACGTGTCAGAGGACACTGCGTCCTGCTGCACTCTGAAGAAAAGCAATGGTTTCAATGGCACTTTCAAGTAGCACGCATATGGTCACAGGTATTATGCTAATCATGGCACTGCAAGTGATGCTATGCAACTGCCTGCAGGAAAATCGAAAGAAACTCTCAATCCCGGAGATTGGCCTGCAGAACACGCTGAAAACAGGCTTCGCAGCACAGCAATGGGCACTGCTCAAATCAACGAAGCTCATGAAAGAGTCCTCACATGTCAGAGCATGAAGTGAAGGAGCCCAAAGCTTGACTTCTAGGGCAGCGGTAGCATCAGCATGCCAATTGATCAAGCTGCTAACCTGAAACTACTTGAAGCCCAGGTAGGGAAGAGCGAAGCCAACAACCACGTAACAGCTTGTAGCAACCCACTCCTAATGTCTTATACTTGTTATTCCAGATAACACTAGCGCCTCCTAATATACTTATCCAGATTGAAGCTGGCGATCTTTGTCTCCCCAGGCTTGGAAATCCACTCCCCGCCAGAGATCATCCAAAGCGAGCGCGGGCACGTGGCTGCGAAGATCCTCTACCAGGCCATGGGTTCACACTTTCTGGCGCTGTCGGGTAGTTTCCATAATTATAGTCCCTGAACGTGACCCCATATCTAGAAAACATCAGTAAGTTGCTTTTCATAGTTGCTAAGCTTGTTTGTGGGTGGGAGGCGGGTCAATTGCTTGAGAAGATGCATGTGCATCCGCAGGCAATCATGCAAATGGAGATCGATATGCGATTGTTTCCCTTCGACACCCAGCGGCTTAACATCGTGCTAGGCCAGCGGCAGTGGTGTTACATGTGCGTATTTTACTCGGTCATACTGTGTACCAAATATAAAGTAAGATTAGATTCTCCTTTTGGTATTTTAATGTATTCTATTTACATAGTATCATCTTATTTGGTTCAACCACCAAAAGGCTACTCAAATGGTTTTGCTGGCGCCCTCCAGGCCTTCGTGCTCGCCGTGATCGAGACCGCGCGATCTTTTGCAGGCGCATGGCAGACAGATTCCGTACATGGCAAACTCCCCAACAAAGCGCCAAACTGTCCCATCCGAAGGTTCTGCCATGTCGACAGCCAAATTCGGCTGGATGAATGGTCCATCCTTGGCGTGTCCTGCATGCAGTGACACCCAAAACCCTAAACCCTGGTTTGTATTCCCTTCCCAGACAAGTTACAGGATCATCATTCTGAGAGTCCAAAAGCGGTGCCAGAACATCAGTCCCCATAGTCGCAGTGTCGCGATGACACTTGGTTCTGCGAGTCTCAATTCCACTTCCACTCTTGTCCTTGCACTACGTAGCAGAGTGGCGCCACTAGCAAATGCTCCTGGTTGCTTCCTTTTCGTTTAGTACTGCTTTTTTGCTGAAGTGTAGCTCCTTGCCAGTGGCCTTCCCATAGATCTTATGCACTTTTTTCGACCGTACAGGAAGAAAAAGTGCAGTGCACAGAGTTACTTTTATCTAGTAGAAAGCGCGATCTAGTAGATGTAGTAGCTTTCAAGACTGCAGCAGTGCTGAGACCTATTTCGATTCCGATCGCCCAGACGGCCGAGCACGGGTGCAGTTTGGAGTCATCATCGGCCGTGGCTTTGCGCTGTCAGAGCTATTCCTGAGACCGCATTTCATCGCTGCAGCCTCAAGCTGAAGTAATAAGCCTTGTTCAAGGTGGCTACATGTACTACGTCATGAATGTGCTCATCACGCTGCGGCCTGTCTAGAGTTTTTGCACAAGCCAGGCACGCAGGAGGTGAAAGTGGGTCTCAGCTCTGCACTGGAAGCCAAATCTGCAGACTGCTAGTCGCTTGGACGGCCGGGTTCCTTCCCGGTCTCAGAGGTGATTGGGAAGGCTATGAAGACTGCTCATTTTGTTGAATCCTTACAGCTGCCAAGAACTATATTTGGAACAGCCAAGCCAACATCAGGGAGTGTCAAAAGCCCTGTCAGCCAAGGTGTGCCATTGCATCATCTTCTTTTGCCGGATACTTTCTCCAGGTGTCTGCCGGCAGGGTATGCTGAATGGCTTCTTTGCTGGTGTTTCTTTCCACAAAGCAGCCAGGTGACACCACCCTTTGACCGACTGCGCTTCGGCGTTTCGATCCTGTTTGCGCAGACCACTTTCCGCTCCCCGTCCATATTTGGTCAGCAGAGATTCTAAACTTGAAGAGGCTGGATGTTTAGGCTTTAGCCCTAGTTGCCCAAGCTTAAAGTTCAGCTTCAAGCATGAGCTACAGTCAGTCGGCTCATGGTCGAAGGGTTTGGGACGGTTGTATCGCCGTGGCGTCAAAAGGCTCAAGGAACATGGGGACGGAGATAGCGGATTCTCTCCTCCAGCGGCTGCTTCAGGAGCACCCTGATGGGGACAATCGGTGGGCAGCTATCGAGAAAGCATACAATGCAGAAAGCACGGAGAAGAGATCACGGATGTGGCTCAAAAATCGGGCCAAGAAAGTCTCATCAACCGAAAAAGGTAGTGATGCTTCGGCTTTAGTTTCCGCAAGCGGAGCTACTGCTGCATCATATCCTATGCAAGAAGCTGCTGGCCCAATCTCTCACGAGGCATTTGACAAGATTGCTCAGGATGCCGGAGTGCATGGTACAATGTCCATAGACAATCTGTACCACAAGTTCAAGCACACCGCGGCAAGAAGTCGGGAATCTCGGATTTTACAACATCAAAGCTGGATGCTCATGGATTGTTGCACCTATTTCCCATGAAACGCATGTCGCAACATTCGGTCGGTGGGAACACCTGCTTCGCAGATGGGTTGGACGACCCTGATCTTGTCAGCCCCCAAAGCGTTGGCCAGAACTTGGGGCGTGCCATGTCCTGGCTGGAAGAGCAGGGGGATAGAGATCTGGAGATTGAGGAGGTCATTTCAGGTTCAATGCTCTCCGTGCGGTGCAAGGCTTGCTGTGCTTTGCCCAGACTGGCGATGCCTCAATTTGTTCGAGACATGGAGAAACGACTTGATATCGACTCTCAGTCGGAAATCCTTGTGGTGCCCTTCAGCAAGGATCAGCTGTACATAGCGAAATCCTCTTCTGCGCTGGGATGCAACGCGCTGGGTGATTTTGTTGACGCAGTCGATACCAAGGGTGAGCGGTGTGGCAACAACCAGTACATGTATTCAGCGCCTTTCAGGGTCAAATCAATCAACAGCAGCGGTTTGCCCGCTTCGTACTTATTAGCACAAGGAAAGATGCCAGTGGAGTGGGAACTCTACCCATTCTTCGGTCAGAGTGTTTCTCATGGTCCAACTACTTTGAGTTCAGCTGCCGCGCTGTCCTTGGGCTTTCAGGCTCCATCAGTTGATCCGATCATTCGATGTTCGATTCCGCGATCAGAGCACCAGGCGGATGAATGGAACCGATTCGCCGCTAGCAAAGCTGGCCTGCTGAGTCTTGCAACAAAGAAGGGCAAGAGCTCCACCAGGGCGATGACATGTGCTCTCAGTTTTGAGCCAGATTGCCTGGCACCCTCTCAAATTTCTGATATCATGGCAGTTAATGGCTCAGGCATATGTCTTTCTTGGCTGGTGGATAGCGATGTTCGTGCTCCATTGTCGCTTCGTTTGGCTGTATGCGCTGAGTGTTTTTTTTCCGATACACACCATGAACGCTTGTGTCCGAAATGGGAATCATGTGCTTCTTACCGCACGAGGATTCTCAGATCAGTTGAAGCTTTGTTCCTGTGGTCTCCTGCGGTACTGCTCCGAGGAATGCCGGCAGAAGCATCTGCAGATCCATGGGCAGGTTTGCTTCCAGGCTAAGCTGGCGCAAGAATTAGTACAACACGATCGCAGGTCGAAGCACAAAATCTCTGGCGCACAGCTATCGCATCAGCTCAGCATGTCCACTGAGGTGTTCGATGTTGAGGCTATCGCTTGTTGGGCAGATTATTTTGCAGCCCGTGGCTTCAGACCAACAGACCTGCCCGATGCCACAACGTATTTGACCATGCCTTTGACAATTCTCTTTGGGGTCAAGACATTCAGGGAGCTTGGCGTTTTGGTGATGTCCAGGCGCGATGAAGACTCTGGTCGGGAAACGCTTCGAGTTGATGTTGTCGGCGCTCAGGTGGCAGAACAAGCCACATTGTCAGCAGGCGGGTTTGCCGAGGTGGCCCGTGCTTTTCCGGCATGCGATGTCTACTTGCGCCTGATTGGGCCAGAGGTCGATACAGATGCAGCCAGAGAGGCCATAGCAGCATGCAAGAACAACCCTGTCACCTTACGTATTTCATCACACCGCATGCTCTACCAAGACTTCTGTGCACAGCAGACTGATGGCGAGCCCGAGCCTGACATTGTTTTCGCTCCTAATGCCGGTGTACGAGAGTCTTGGTACCCTGCAATTCAGAAAGTGTGCGAGCTCAACATCCCATTGATGATAACAGGTTATGATCTTCACGATGCAGTTGCCTCACTCAGGCCACTTTATCAGAACTTGCCCAAGCGTCCGCGTGTGGTGCGCGACGGGTGCAACCCCTTTGCTGGGTGGCCTTTTTGCCGAGATGCAGCAGAAAGTCATCAATGGGCCAAAGCAGAAGCCAAGGAGACTTCAGTAGGTGAAGTTCTCAGCAGCGTGCAGGACCCGCAGAAGGCTCTCCTCACGGCTCAGAGCCTTCTGGTAGGGGATGTTAGGCCAGACAGAGGGTCATCCATTATGCTGAACAGTCACTACTTCTTAATCCATGGCTATGAGTAGAGTCGTGTGCTCAACTCTGGCACAAGAACTGTGGCTTGGATGTGTGCAGAAAACCGCGAGTGCTCCTGCCAGAAGCAAGATCAATGAGGGTTTGCTTCCAATCTGGATTTGAGAGCATTTGCTGATAAGGTTTATCTATTGACAGCAAGCTGCCCATCGTCGCGTACGCAACAGCCTTCGATCACTTCGCGATGTGCTGTCAGCTGCTGCTGCTTTCGATGATTGTTGGATTCTTGGCTGCAAAAAGCGGACGCTTCAGGCTACCGCGCAGGCAGAAAGCTGTTTGTTGTTTTGTTGTCAGTTGCTCTTCCTAATCCCAGGAGATGTTTTGGTGGCAATGCTGGCAGACAGGCGGGTGTAGCAAAGAAGATGCATGAAGACACTATGCGCTCGTCGACTCTTTGAAGTAGACTGACTGCAGTTAGGGTGTTATGCTCATGACATCCAAACGAAGGACCTCTCTCTTAAAGATTTGTAAAGCTTGCCTTGCGAAAGCACTTGAGGAGGAAGAGGAGGTGAGACGTTCCGTTGATTTGCGCCTCATGCAGGTGGTTTCACTTCGGTGGCCCAGAGATCGCAGCTTTGGTTGCTGTGCTAGATTTTGAATCCCAGCTTCCATCAGACGCTGCAAGAGGTGTGGGGTGGCCCCCTTCAGCCCCCAGACAAGTAGGACCCTTCGATAAGCAGTTTCGTCCGCTGCGTCTGCTATGACATCTTTGCCGCTATTCATGTTCCTGCCACGTACTACGTACTACTACCGCCACTGGCACTGCCGCTGTCTTGAGTTTGTTGCTGTGAGGAATTCTGCTTGCAGCTTGCTCCCAGGTTGACAAGGCCATCTTTTTCACGCTGTTGCCCATGTGGAGCCTCAGAAAGCAATCTTGAACCTGGACGTGCCTCAAGCGTACATTCGGATCATATACTCAGGTATTGGGGGGTTGGTTTAGCCGTTCTTGGGGGTTCCTATCATGCGGAGAGCGCCTCAGCTGTTCATCCTTGTCTGGAAGCTCCATGACTTGCTGTAGCCGCAGTCAGATTCTCAAGTAGGAAGCATCATTGCTTATAATAAGCTGTTTGTGGACCAGCCCTCGAAGTATCCGCAAGCAGTCAGCAGTTGTTGATGGGCAACCAGGAGGCGATTTGGGGGCAGTCGCAGCATTAATAATAACAGTAGTAATATAATGAGAATAGTAGTAGCCATCATAGTAATCAGAGTGAGAGTAAAAATAGTGACACCGCAGTCTTGTTTATCTCTTGAACTCAGGATCCTTGCGCTCTCCATCTTCAGCATCTGGGTGGTCAGGTCAGGATGGCCTCTATTGACTGGTTTAGGGTTTAGGCTTGAGGTTTCATAGTCTGGGTTTAAGGGTTTAGATTTTAGGGTTTAGGTTTTAGGTTTAGGGTTTAGGTTGTAGGGTTTAGGTTTTAGGATCTAGGGTGAAGGCTTTCCTTAATCTGTGCTAGTCGTTGCTTGAGTGAGCCTTGCACTGGGTCCCAGGCTATAAACTACAAGGCAGCAGTTCTTCACCGCGAAGCGACCATGTACAGACTAAAATACGGGACAATCTGGGGGTCGCCATGTGAAACTGCCACAGAAAGGGTGTCAGTGCAGTGTGGACATCTCTAAGACAGTTGGTGTGCAATTCTGCCGAGACTGTACGCATTCTAGGTGAGATAAGATTAACAACAGAAAACACACGAGTGCAGAACATGAGGACCGGAACAATCAGCGGACTGATTCAGATGTCAACCTGCTGCTTCTTCATGGTTCAGCTGCATGAGGGTGTTTGGACTGCAGAAGTCTCGTGTTTTTCTGGAGGAACACGAACCATGGATGACTGCACTATAATGGCTACCTGTGGAAGACTATATCCACCCCGGTCAGCAGCGGATACATTAGAGCCCTACACCGTGCTTGCAGGAAAGCTTGAAGCCCTATACCTTCTTTACCTATTAGGCGCGAAGCTCAGGATTTGGTCCCTGAACTCAAAGGCCTCCAGCCCAAAGCCCTTGCAAGAGTCCACCCCCCCGCCAGGACGCGGCGCAAGACAGCCCAGGCCAAGCGGTGCACCGAACCGGATGTGGCAGTTTCTCAACATTGATACCCCTGAGATGCATGAGATGACCCCTACAATGCTATTGCAACCGACCTTTTTTTTTCCAGGATGTTTGAGGATACAATTGTTTTCAGAGCTGCCAACCACGTATACAGTTATAGCTTTTGAGCTCCTTCCGGGTCATGGTTTGGCGGTGTTTGAGGTCGCAAGTAGTGGGGCCTTGGATTTTTGACTGACAACAAGTCAATTTTGTGTCCATTTTGGGTGATGTTGTGCGGAACGTATTTGTGTACGGAAGCTTTAGAGTCTTTGGGGTGACGAAAGCGGGGGACAAGAGGCGAATGGGGTGCTGGTGAAGCATATTGTACTTTGCAGCAGCGGTCGACTCTTCACATTTGGCTGGCTTCATGACTTTTGGAGCTTTTTCGAATGTTGTCTTCCCAGAACCGCTCTCTGAAATCTAGACTCGAAGCCAATCCTCACAACCCAAAGCTCTGAGCATATCCAAGATCTGGGCAAAGTCATGGGCACTGATTCTTAAACCATTGACTCATGTAATAGCTGGCAGTGGTTAGTGAAATGTCTTGTCGTGACGACTTGTGGGGAGAGAGTGTGTCTGAAGCTGAAGCGCTTCAATGGACCCGGCTAGCAAGGCTTTCTGACGGTGCAGGAGGGAAAAGGTCCCCAAAAATGTCGCTTCCATTTTTTCCATTGGCTCGTCCCTTGAAGCAGGCCCAGGCGCTGAACAGCGGCGAGCTGGCGTCCTCAAGCGCTTCCTCGGATGGCCAGGTGTGGGACAGCTCTTCGTTTCGTGCCCGGGGTGCTGTTTGAACCGCTTGGGGGCCAACATCATGCTGTTCGTTAGTCAAGCTGATGGCGCACGAGAGGGCCTCACAGTTTTCAGGCTTGGGTTTGGGGTGCATCCACTCTCAAGGCGTGAGGGGAAACGCACAACATCATGTGCTGCCCTGGTCTGCGCTGCTTGCAGGTTCCTAATCCAGGAGACTTTTCGGAGGAAGCTCAGGATCAAATGGCAGCTCGTACTTAAAGGTTGGCTTTGGAGACAATGCTCAGCACGTGAGAGACAAGTGATTGTGTCTAGCGCATGGCACTGACCTACTTTATCGGGACAAGCTATGAAAGCAAACCTACAGTGATGTACGGATACGCGCAATTCGGAGAGACATGTGACCTCAACTCGACTGAAGCTCTGCGCCGCAAGTGAATCCGCACGCCCAGGCCCGGCTGAAGAATCGCCTTCGTTACACATCTGCACGGCGCTTGTCACCCACCATGCAGCACCTCTCCAGTGAAGCTGTGGCTCCTTGGCTGCATGCCCCTGCGTCTGGTTTCATCATGCCTCATGTGCACGCTCACGTTGTGGTGTTGAAATGCCACATGGCAGTCCAGGCGGTATCGGCAACTATCTGGTTCCTACACGATATCGATCCCATCCAGGCCCAGTATGAGTGCAAGTGCCTGGGAAGGATTTTGCGCAGCGGTCCCAATCTTGAAAACCAATTCCCTGCCATGAGCAGCAACCAGTATCGGTGTACCATAGGTCCCCTTGGAAAAGTGAATGGGGGTTTCCCGAAATTAGGTGATTGTTTGGGGGTCCCTATGACGAGGATTATAGTATCTTTGGGGTCAGGGCCCCACTCTTCCAACAAACAGTTCTTTGAGAAAAATCGCGATAAATCCCTACGGAATCCATCTATGACCCATAAATCCTTAAGCTTCTGATGTCCACACCCTCCTCTTAAAGCCTTGGTTTTGTTTTCAACCGACAAGCTAGAAGCCCTAAACCCGAAGCCCCTAAATCCTCCACTCATCTGAGGTTCACTTTGTATGCAGAGTGGCTCAGCCAAGCCGCTGCTGCTCGGCTCCCTATAATAAGGACTATAGTATTTTGGGGTCTATATTGGGATCCCCTTATTTTGGGAAACTACCAAATCCCAACACCCCAAGCCGTTAATGCGGGTTTTCAAGGATTCGGAGCCCTGTGTTGAGAGTCCTTGTACCACTCTGCAGCCCCACCGAGATTCCCTCTAAAACCAGGTTTCTACACCTCGTGTTCTGGTATCTTGCCGTTTTCCAAGAGTCTAACATCACTCTAGGTCACCCTAATGCTTTTGTGTAAAGCCATCCCGTGGCGCTCTGGTGCAGGGCTCCCAAAAAGGGCGACGGCCTTCAAGATGATAGCTACTTGCGGGAGGGGGGCCTTTAAGGTTGCCAAAAACTCATCAAGAGTGGATATAGGGGTCCTTTTAGTAGTTTGGTATGGTCCCTAACAAATTCCTTCCCAGGCACCCATGTCCATTAATGGTATGGATGTTGACTGTAGGTCATATCAAAACCGAAAAGACTTTGGTCCTTCACACACGCACCCGCATTTGTTGCTGGTTGCGTCTACGACGTCTATGAAAAAGGTTGGTATGGCTGCTGGAACGCGGCTTGCCAAAGAGGACTTGGTGCGTGGGGGCCTCAGACATTGCTTCGCCGAAGGGGGCTATGTCCGGAGTATTGACATGTTGGGTATGCTTTAGTTTCCATGCTTGTGGGTTCTTTAGGGAATCTACGCAGATGAGGCATTCTTGAGCGTTCCTTCTTGCGGCCCATTGTCAGTTGACTTCTAATTAATCCCAAGGCCCAGATCACAACTTAGATTCCTTAAAGCCAGGAGACCACCGAATGCCGGAGATCGACGTTCACAACAAGGCAGTGATGGCCCGAAACGGAAGCTCATGAGAATTCCCAAGCTAGCTTTGCAAAAGAACTTTTGAATCATCAAGGGTCCATGAGAGATTCTACTTAAGTGCTGAGAGGAGTTTTGCGTGCACATCATGGTCATTTTGGAGCGGACATTTTAGCTCAGTTACTCAGATAGCGGTTTCTCGTACCTTTCCATCTTGAACCGCCAAGAATCCAAAGCAAGGCATTATACACCCGTTATAACCCCAGCTTCCCTGCGATCTTTGATTTTGTTATCCGTTTGATTCTTCAGCTAACCCGAATCCTAAACACTGAATTTTAGTTTCCGTTCTTTCCGTTTTCATTTCCATTCGATTCTGGATCCCTAAGCCGTCAGTCTAACCTTTATGAGAGCTTCGTCCAGGCAGCTTTAGGGATGCTGTGTGATTTCGTATGGGTGGTTGTCCAAAAAATTATGGTCCCTTTTTTGGGTACCCTAGATACTAGGTGCCGTATTATACTAGGGACCCAAAAGGGACCATAATTTTGACAACCACCCATATCTGCTATGTGCGCTGTCTCTTGCTAGCTCTTGTCCTACTATTCCTACTGCAGGAGAATCTTTGTATGGTTGTGAGGTTTAGGGTTTAGGGAAGACACCATCAGAGCCCTGGCTGCAGGTGGAGCTATCTGTGGAGGCCGTCTGTAGGGCAGAATCTTTGAGCTTCATGCGCGGCCTGCTCTTGCGTATAGCGTCCATAGGCTGGAAATGATGCGACATGAGTGTCGATTAACTGGGGAGCCTCAATCGCAGTTTTCAAAAATCATTGCATGTAATGTTGTCACAGTAGAGCTTCTGTTCCTGCCGCTACTCCCCTCAATCCCAATATATAAGCACCTACATATCCCTCTCAATATCCCTATACTATATAGATACATATCCTTAATGTCATGGTACATGGCCGGAGAGCTCTACGGGCCATATATCCCTAAGCACCAGTAAGATGATTTGGGAACCCTGACTGTAGGATGGCCCCAGCGCCATTGTGGCAGACTCTGAAACTGGAAGGAGCCTGGGTAGCGGAAGGGCGGATCAAGGTTTAGGGGTTTCGGGTTCGGGATGCATGGAGGTCTCGCAACATTCCGGGTGCCTTTAAAGGGTTACAGGGGAATTTGGGGGGTTCTGTAGGGGTACATTGATAAGGGGTACGTTTGTTGGGGGTCCCTTACCAAACCCATCCCCAGACGTCCACGGGCCCCCCAGCCCTCAGAGGCCTTCGGAGGCCTTTGGAGGCCCTCGTGCCCTCAGAGGCCCTCGGAGTGGCGGGCCCGTTCTCTAGAGAGGGAAATGGGAATTTAGGGTGTCAGCCTGAAACCCGAAAAGGAATGGTAAGCAGGGGATTGGAAGAATAAACAAAGACACCAAGTCTTGGTTTGTTGGGCACGAGAGATGTGCCGTGGCAAGAAAAGCCGCCCCCCCAACACCCCTGGGTGTGTCGGGGCGCCATTCCTACATGTTACCTCCAGCCGCCGCGCAGCAAGACGCCCTAACCCCTGAACCACCAAGCTAAACCCTAAACCTTAAACCCTCATGGACAATGGCTCTGGAACCTCTGGAACTTGAGCCTTAGTTTTCCGACCCCCGCCTGTGGACCCTGTGTTCTGCAGAGAGCAAAACAGGCGCAAAAACAACTTTAAACTCCAAACCCCTAAACCCTACTCGCCCTAAGATATTCCCAGGATTGTCATGTGCGCTCGCTATATGACCAAGCTTCAGCTGCGGCTCAAGCTAACGCTATTCGACTCAAATAGTGTGACCTTTGAGATCCTGCTTTTGGGGTTAACAGGGGATGTCTTGGGGTTGGTTTAGGGTTTAGGATTGTAATAGTGTGACCTTTGAGGATAATTTGTCCTACTACATTACTATTATATTATAATACTATGTAACTTTATTACTATATATTCCATTACTATTGCTATTTCCATTCTTCTAATATTGCTAAAGGGGTTAACAGGGGATGGTTGGGGGTTCAGGGTTTAGGATTTCCAAAAGTCACGGTGTGCCCGGGAGAATTATCGCACGTAAGGGGGACGCACCCCCCGCCCCCCCCGATTCGATTTTGGATGTCCATGCGAGGTAGCATGAGGGTCCATACCCATGTGAGGGTTTGGGGTTCTGGGATTTGGGAATTTCAGAGTTTAGGGGTTTGCTTTCAAGATTGAGTCAGGATTTTGATTCTGGTTTTGGTCGGCGTATGTTGCAAAACCCTAGCGCAGTAGTCCTTGCTACAGTTGTCCGCGCCGGGTGACTTCGCGGCTGATGTTCCTCCACCCTAAGCATACTGGGGTCTGTAGGGAATATGAGAATCTAGCATCCGGGGATTAGATAGGCATGATTTTCATTTATTCCCTACTAAGAACCAGTAAATAAGCCTGAACCTGAGCCTAGGAACTTCCCCTTCGACTGCCAGAGCCTTCCCATCGACTTCACGATGCCAGCGGAGAAGGCCAGCCAGAGAACTTAAATTCACGGTTGCATTTTATAGCTCAAGGTATGGCTCCTGAGTTGGAGCTCGTTCAATTTGTGTCTCGAGACATATTGATCTCTCAACGTGGATCTTGGCAATCCCAAGGCAGAGTAACTAGGGATTCTTTCTTGGGTAATGCCTTCGGAGATCAAGGGTTTAATGTTTTTGGAGCAGGGTTTGGCGGTCAGAGTATGATTTTTGTGCGGGACCCAACCCGAACCCATGAAACCTCGTCCATACTTCGCGGGCTATACTTTGAGCAAGTCATCATGCCTGCCATCTGCAAATCCTATCAGTTAGCGGCCTCTCGTAAGGGTCCTTGCTACAAGGTCTTTCTCTACATCTCTCCTTCCTCCGGATGTTACATACTATTATTCCCATGATGACGGCATGACCACTATGACGTTGGTCACAGTTTTGCAATACCTGCGACATCTGCATGGTTGCGGCAGCTGTTGCCTTACTGTTGCTCTTCTGTTTACTTCCATGCCAGCTACCCATGAAAAGATGGCAGGACGTGAACCGCGCGTTCGTTTGCCGCAGCGTGGAGCTGCAGCCCTTGGCCAGGAGCCTGGATGAGTGGACAGTGCAGGCTGCGAGGGACCGCGCATGGGTGGGATTAAGGGACAGATGCACAGAGGAGACTTACCAGGGATCTTCACGACTACGTCTAAATTTTAGGATTTTCCGATCCGTGGTTCTGCCCAAGGAGAGATATTCTGAGTTCTGCTCTCTGGGGGGTCCCTTCTCGCTGGTAGCAGCAGATGGAGTGATTTTTTTGGACTCGTCTTAGGACCTAGGAATTGCTATCATGGAGGCTGCTATAGATACGATTCCTGCGCAGGGCACCTGGAGCAGCTGCGACTTCCACGAGGGCATGAGTGCGGCAAGCATGTACATCGAGGTGCAACTGGGGAAGCCTTCCGAAAGAAGCAATCGTATTGTGAAGCAGTTCTGCAAGGAGTCAGAAACCTTCTTTGGCATTGTAAGCGAGGTGAAGAGAAAGTCAAAGTACTACGTGGTGTCCGTGCTGGGTGTGATGCTCGGAATCTCCAGCCTCGTATTCACTGCTGGCTCCTCAGAGGGTTCCGTGTTGTAGGGCTGAGGGCTGATAATTACACCCAAAGTGATATACCGCTTCCATGATGATCTGTCGCTGTCCGCTGCTAATCCATTTCCATGAACCCTGGGCCCCCACTCCAAACAGCCCAAGCTTTGCATCCCAATCTTAAACACTAATTGTGCTGACTACACGAGCCTCAAAAGAGCACAGGCCCCAAACTTCAAAACCTTGCATCCCAAAACTTCCCCAGATCTTCCAACACACAAGGTCTTCGCCATCCAAGTGGATTCCGCTGGGAAAGGATTTGATGATCAAGGTCGGAGCGGATGGGATCTTGAGCGGTTGTTTTAGAGCAAGATTTGCATGTTGCTAACTGGTATCCTTGTTTCCGGCAGCTGTTATGATGGGGCTTCAAAGTGAGAGTTTGCATGGTGTGGGCTGGCATTCTTAGTCAAGTGGATGGATAGCTTCCTGCAGATTGTGAGGGGCACTGAAGAGCATCAGCCGCTAGGAGAGTGTCAAACCATAGTGCTGCCAAATGGTATTGCATGTGCAGTTTTTTTCTCCATAAAAAACTGCACATGCAATACCATTTAGAATCAGGTTGCTGCTCTTGTACTGCTTCTGTGCAGGGCAGTGCCACCTCTGGATGTAGTCACTGCCCCTGACGAGTAGCAGCCAGAGGTGACGAAACACAGAAGCAAGCGTCCTTTTCACACCTCCTGGGCTTCCATTGGATTGTCTGCTGCATTGCAACTCCTCTTGGATTGCCCACTGCTGCGTTCGAGTCCATCTGACAGCTACTGTATATGTCTCTCTCCGACTTCGCAGTGACCTAGCCGCAGGGCTAGCAGCCAGGGTTGAGCTTACCACACATTTTGTTGGAGGCTATTAATAACGCATCAGTAATATTAGTATGAACATTAGTATTAATATCAGTATGAGTTTTAGTATTCTGCCGTTGAAGGGCAGCGTGTTGGGGGTCCTGGGCAAGGATTAGGTAAGAGCCACCTGGGGCCTGTTTGTCCTTAGTCCCCCTCACTCTCACCGCCATCCCATGAGCCATGCGCCGGGCAAGATCCTTTTGGTTATAGATGATATTACGGTACCTCATATCTTAGGGCAGCAAAATGGAACCCGAATTTTGAGAACTACCCTAACCCTATACCCTAAATAGTAGCTTCCATTTTCTTTTCCATTAGCCTATTTAACCCCTATATACCCCCCATATAATATAACCCCAGATAACCCTAATCCTATAGAACCCCTATATACCCCCCATATAATATAACCCCACAAAACCCGAAACAACCCCAAAGCAGGCAAGATCCTTATCTCTCTCCTCATGACCTTATTGGCCTTCAAGTTGCTCACAGCCTCAGGCCTGCGGGGAGTCGGTGCGTGGGTTTCAAACTCTTGCCAGGGGTTGTATGGTAGTTTCTCCAATATAGACCGCAAAATATTATACTCCTTATTATAGGGACCCCCGAAATGGTACCCCTAATTTTGAGAAACCCCTTTATGTTTGACCCTACACCCTGAATCCATCTTTCCCATCTTCGAGTCCACTACTTCTGCGCCTGAAGCTTAACCTGGGCCTGTTGTTTAGGGGATGGCAGCTAGAAGAATTTTGAGGTTTGCGCACGAGAGCTGCTCAGAGTACACAACGAAAATTCATGCAGGGGTGTCCCAAGACCTACTGACCTACTGCACGTTTCGTAATCTCAGTGCTGGACTTGCTCGTCTACAAGATGTGGTCTATATGCTATGGTTCCTGCATGAAAACCTACAACAAATCTGCGTCCAAACCTGCCTGCTACTCTGTATGTCGCTATAGGGTCCCTGTGGTCCCCTGTTTGGGAAATACAGACACATGCATTTGCTCAAAAGCAGGTGCTGAGTTTCGCAAGGAAACGGAATCTACTGCTCACCAGCGGGACTTTCGTTTGAAAGGCATGTTCACTTGTGGGTTTTTGGCTCTTGCAAATGTGCTGCAGGTAAGATCCCGAAAGTGGCCAAAGCAACCATCTTTGACCGATACGTGGCTTGCTTGGAGCACGTAGTATTACTGTCTTTTCTGCAGAGCTTCTAACCTGCTACTGTTGTTGTTGTTGTGGTGGTGGTGGTGGTGGTGGTGGTGGTTGTGGTGGTGGTGGTTGTTCTTGTTGTGGTGGATGGTTTTGCGCCGAATTACTTGCTGTTCCTGTTGTCAGGTCAGCAACATGATTTGAGCCATTACCTTCCGCGCCTGCTTCCAAGGTGCTTGCGACCGAAGCCTGCTTTTTCGTTGCTTGGCCTCTGTCAGCAAAAGCAGGAATGATAGCGAAATCATATACAAAAACACTAGGAAGAAAGCAGCAGCTCGTGGTGCAGGGAATCATGTTTCAGCAAGGTCACGGTCTTCTCCTGCACTGCGATGCGCGTCCTCCTCTCCGACCCAGGTAAATGGGTGCAAAGTGTCTGATGTTACTAGGAGTAGAAGCGGAGGAGCGGTGTCTACCTCAAGCAGGTATCCATGAGCAACACAATGAAGGACTCATCAGGAATCGTTGAGTGTTCGATGTGCCCTAGAGCAAAGTTGTGCTGTATTGTGGCCATGCCAATGACTCGTTCTTAGGAACAGCTATGGTTACCACCCCTGTGCAGGCGTGTCGCCGCATGCAAGGGGGTTGCGTGGTGGCTTTTTCTCCGCCGTGCTCGGCGCTTTGGCTTTGAGTGTGGAGGACCTGTACTTGATCAGAAGGTTAGTATGCCATTCCTTTCAATTTGGTATCCAGGGCCTGATTTAGATTTGGCATGCCTCTCATTCAAAACCCCACACAACCACCGCAGGGACATTAGCCAGGAGATTGTACATGCCAGAAGATGTATGTGATACCCTTGCAGCTCAAACCTAGGTACGTCCTGCAAAACATGTTGTGACGACTTCGGACAACCTACCCAAATTTCTTAACCGACAGCAAGCAAGTGTGAACCTGAGGAAGAACGCGGGGTGGGGCGCAGACCAGAACAACAGCAACAATGACTCAATTCGCCTTGCTTATCTCCATGCACTTTAAGTTCTCCTAATTCGGGTAGGTTGGTCTGGTTTAGGAGGGTCACTCAGTACGCAGTGCGTTCGCACCTCTTTGACATTCTGTTCTTGTATTACAGTTGTTCAACTGTATATCCGTGTTCAGCAACCCAAAAGACTGACAGCTCAGAAAAAGGTCTAGGGCCTGGGAAGTGAGCCATGGGATCTCCATGGGAGCGTCAGAGCCGAATGGCGATGAGCCGTCCGAGCCGATCGCAGGCGAGCTTCCCTCCGATCCCAGAGCAAGCCAGCTGCGCGGCCGCACAACCTGCTCAGGAAGAAGATCAAGAAGAGGATCTGAGCAAGCTGCCCAAGTACTTCTCGTGGGAGCAGCAGCCTGCCGGATCCGGCGATCCCTGGGCGCAGATGGCGTCAAACAGCTCGTGGGGGCAAGGTGGCTCCTATGGTGGCGGTGGCTCCTACAACCCGGCAACGCAGGCTGCTCAGCAATTCGTGCAGCACGCCAACGAGACCGCTGCCGCTCGCAGACTTCGAAAGCAGCAGGAAAAGAATGAGGCTCGTGGTGGCGGCAAGCGCGTTCGCTGGGGCCAGTTCGATTACAACAACCCGCACCAGAGGCAGCTCCCGGACTACCTCGCGCAGGTCGGCTCCGGACCAGGAGAAAGGAGCGTGTTGGTCATTGACACTCGTGATCAGCGCCTTCAGTCCCCTTTTCAGGGGTGGGTCCTGGACGAGAACCTCACGAACGCCCAGGCAGCCATCAACGTGCTCTCCGACAGGAACCTGGTCAGGTCGCCGCAGCAAGGCTACCACTTTAACCTGTTCCTGATGAAGACGCTGAGCACCTTCAAGCTCACGCTCGTGGGCAGCATGACTTCGTACTCCACAGTTCCGTGGTGCCTGGGATGCTCCCACAGGCAAGGTGCTCTCGCACAAGGCCTTCCAGCCATTTCGCTGGCCAACAATGACGGAGAGCTCGCCAACTTGGGTGGACATCAAGGTCAAGATCGATGGCCACCTGTTGATCCACCTTGAGCTCCGTGGCTACAGAGGCGATCGCGACATGGCTGTTCAGATGAACTACGTGGACGACTGCGTGATGGAGATGC